GAGAAACTGTTCCCTCATATAAAAGAAACAAGATGGCATAAGGTCTTAGCGAAAATCTGTAGCTCGGGTTGTGGATGCAGTTGTTTGTTAGCTTACCGAGCCAGTTGTTCTGTACTGTGCAGACATTTTGTTATCTTTCTAGGCAACTTCATCAGTGCAACCTCTAATTGAAGCGTTGGTGTTCTGCTTCCTTCCGGATTTATATGATCCTCTGGTGTGATGGTCTTGTCGCTTCCAGTTCTGTTGTTTTAGCAGTGGTCTGTATACGGGGTCTATTTCTATGTGTTTGTTAATAGAGTCCCGTGTTGAAAACCAGGCTTCCAGAAGTTGCTTTGCATGTCTGGTTGTTTGCTTGACCCAGTACAGTCACTTTGTCCCAGTCAAACTGATGGCCGTTATTGTCGGTCTGTATCAAGACAAGTGAATATTGGTCGTGTCTTTTCACTGCCAGCTATTGTTCGTGTATCCTGGTGATCAGTTGCCCCCCTGTTTGTCCAATGTAATGTTTATTGCACTTGCTGGATGGTATTCTGTACATCATGTTGGAATTGTTTACTGTCGGTATGGGATCTTTATTCTTTGATAATACTTGGCGGAGTATTGTTGTAGGTTTGTGTGCAGTCATGGTCTTATGTGGTCTTAAGAGTCTGGTAGTCATTTCTGATATATTTTTGATGTAGAGTCGCGTTGCTAGTGTCTTCTGTTGTACCGTGTCCTCTGACTGTTGTTTGTTTCATAGGCATCTGCGGACAAAACTTCTTGAGTATCCATTGTGGGTGAAAACTTTGTGTCGGTGTTCCTCTTCCATTCTCCGGAGTTCTGGGGTGTTGCAGTGTGAGACGGCTCGTTTAAAGAGTGTCTTGATGCAGCTCTGTTTGTGTATGGTGAGACAGTTGCTATTGAAGTTAAGGATTTGGTCCGTGTGTGTGGCCTTCCTGTATACTCGGGTCCGGAATTCCCTGTTAGTCAGCCTCTCTATCATTACGTCTAAGAATGGGAGCTGTTTATTGTTTTCTTCCTCTATAATGAAATTTATGTTTGCGAAGATGTTGTTGGCAAGTTGGTGGGTTTCTTCTACATTTGTGTGTTTGATTATTACAAATGTGTCGTCCACGTACCTTGCCCATAGTTTCGGTTGGATTATAGGAAGGACTTGTGTTCCAATCTCTGCATCACTGCTTCCGCAATGAGACCTGAGATGGGTGATCCCATCGGTGTGCTGTTGAACTGTTTGTATATCTGTCCGTTGAACATGAAGTGCGTTGTAAGGCATAAATCTAGCAGTTTCAGTAAGCTGTTCTTGCTGATGTTGTTGCCGGTGTTCAGAGTCGGCGCTCCTGGTCTGTCTAATAGTGTCACTTGTGTCTCTCTGACTAACGGTATGTCAATGGCTGTAACTAGTGCTGTAACATGCTGTAACACCTGTTGGTATGTGGTTGGTACTCGCAGATACAACCACATACCAACAGGTGGCATCAGACCCCACACCACAGCGAGGGAACAAGATAAAGAGAATTAAACATGCAGGAGAGATCACCAACACCGACCACATCATAACGAAACTAGATGGCTCAAACAACCGCCGCTTCTACAGCCTCCCCAAGATACACAAACCCAGAATCCCACTCAGACCAATAGTCACCTTACCGGGCACACCTATACACAAGCTAGTGAGAGAATTACAACAGAGACTCAAACACCTGATTAGCAGATTCCCACACTCAATCTATTTGGCCCAAGAACTTCTCACACAGCTCAAGGGCACAAAAAATCGACAGGGACAAAATCATGATTGCCTTCGATATTACGTCCATTGACATATCGTTAGTCAGAGAGACACAAGTGACACTATTAGACAGACCAGGAGCGCCGACTCTGAACACCGGCAACAACATCAGCAAGAACAGCTTACTGAAACTGCTAGATTTATGCCTTACAACACACTTCATGTTCAACGGACAGATATACAAACAGTTCAACAGCACACCGATGGGATCACCCATCTCAGGTCTCATTGCGGAAGCAGTGATGCAGAGATTGGAACACAAGTCCTTCCTATAATCCAACCGAAACTATGGGCAAGGTACGTGGACGACACATTTGTAATAATCAAACACACAAATGTAGAAGAAACCCACCAACTTGCCAACAACATCTTCGCAAACATAAATTTCACTATAGAGCAAGAAAACAATAAACAGCTCCCATTCTTAGACGTAATGATAGAGAGGTTGACTAACAGGGAATTCCGGACCCGAGTATACAGGAAGGCCACACACACGGACCAAATCCTTAACTTCAATAGCAACTGTCTCACCATACACAAACAGAGCTGCATCAAGACACTCTTTAAACGAGCCATGTCACACTGCAACACCCCAGAACTCCGGAGAATGGAAGAGGAACACCGACACAAAGTTTTCACTCACAATGGATACTCAAGAAGTTTTGTCCGCAGATGCCTATGAAACAAACAACAGTCAGAGGACACGGTACAACAGAAGACACTAGCAACGCTACTCTACATCAAAAATATATCAGAAATGACTACCAGACTCCTAAGACCACGACTGCACACAAACCTACAACAACACTCCGCCAAGTGTTATCAAAGAATAAAGGCCCCATACTGACAGTGAACAAGACCAACATGACATACGGAATACCATGGAACAAATGCAATAAACGTTACATTGGACAAAAAGGGAGGAAACTGACGACCAGGATACACGAACACCAGCTGGCAGTAAAAAGACACGACCATTATTCACTGGTCTCAATACAGACAGACAATAAGGGCCATCAGTTTGACTGGGACAAAGTGACTGTACCGGGACGAGCGAACAACCAGACATGCAAAGCAACTTCTGGAAGCCTGGTTCTCAACACGGGACTCCATTAACAACACATAGAAATAGACCCCGTACACAGACCGCTGCTAAAACAACAGAACTAGAATCGACAAGACCATCACACCAGAGGATCATATATATCCAGAAGAAAGTAGAACACCAACGTTTCAATTAGAGATCGTACTGATGATGTTGCCTAGAAGGTTAAGGAAATGTCTGCACAGCACAGAACAACCGGCTCCGTGAGCTAACAGACAACTGCAAGACGGCATAGGTTTAAAGTGATATAGAAATGCAGCAAGTGAGGAAAAACACTTTCACTGAATATGTAGTTAGGGTATGGAATGCACTGCCTGGAGGTATCTTGGAGGTAGGATCAATTGAGATATTCAAAAGGATATTCGATGATTATTTGGGTAAAAATAATGTGCAAGGTTATGTGCAAAAAGCAGGAGCATGGTACTAAGTAACGATGCTTTTTTTAAGAGCTGGTACAACCACGATGTGCCAAATGGCCTCCTTCTGCATGTAACACCTGTGATTATCTTTAGGAAGTGTACATCATGAAGCATCACAAATTTAATAGTTCAAGAAAAAAAAATGAACTAGAACATCCTCAGTCTTTTGGGAAGTATTTATTGTAATCTGACGATCATTGACAAACAGTTCAATAGTATATGATGCATGTCTAAGCAAAGACTAGACAATGAATAAACTTTCCATATTATAGGTACACTAACTTCATACGTCAAGGTGAAAATTCCACTCCACAGTGTTTTTAACAAATTGGCAAACCTGTCAAGCTGAAATTCCTCTGTTTATATGTTTTTACAAAGTCTCTGAAGGGCTCCTGTGGCACAGCGGTGGTGTCCCTACCTCTGATCCAGGAGGCTTGGGTTTCAAATCTCACCTGCTACAGAGTTGTGTCATAACATCTCTGATCAGGCTGATTAGGAAAATATCTAATAAAGTCTCCAAAATTAAAATAATGCATAGAGGAATTTCACCGAACATGACAAAAGTAATGTAATAAAAGATATTACGATGGTAATTTTTTGGACCATTTTAACATATCGAAAGCAGTTAAGTAGTAGTGATTTTGAGAAATATGGTAGGATTGTCAGGAGCTAGGCATAAAAGTAGCGAGTTTGGAGAGAGATGGCATTGAGAAACTCAGTCAAGTTGGTTGACAACAAAAAATATTGTAAGTTTTTTTATTTGTGTTAAAAAAATTCTAATTTCAGTGCTCCTTTTACTTTTTTTTCTGCTAATGTTCTTCATTCCTCTCTTCTTTACCACATTTGATACTGATTCTTATTGTTGTACTGTTTTGATGGCTATTAGTTGCTCCCTGATGCAATGTTGAAGCGGCAAGTTTTCTAGAGAATTGAAGAAAAATTTGCACTGGACTTTTGCCCATATCAGGTGGATCCAGGATAACTGGAGTGGTGGAAATAATTTCTTTGCATCCAGTATTGTTATTTTGACAGAAGGGCTTTTAAATTCTTCCTTTGCACTCATTTGGTTCTCCTGTTTTGCTGTGTACACTGCTCTGCTGTTGTAGGTAAGCAAGGCCTGCAGTTCTCAGTTTTCTTCACTCTGTTCCCAAGGTGATCTTTGGATGCAAATGAGCATATTAAAATTACAATTTGCTGAGTACATCTCTGTACTCAGCAAAGGTCTCAGTTTTATCCCTCTGTGTCCGCACCTCAATGGACCAGGTAAGGGTGAGAACAGGGTCATCATTTGAATGTAGCTGTCAACACATTTTTCTTGATTCGATATTTCTAGCATTCGTGGTCTAAAAATTCCACTGTCCAACATTTAAAAACAAAATCAATTGCTGAACTGCAGATTCAAACAAGTTCTTCTCAAGTTTAGATACACCGAAACCTGATAATTGGGTACAGTTTAAGCTACGTATTGCACAAATACTGATTACATTGATCATGCAAATGAAGCTTCCATGAGAACTGCTTGTATTTTTAACAAAACTGTCGATGTCACAAATATAAAATTCATTTAAAAAATTCACTGTCTCATTTAAAGTCAACAGTTATGAATTAAAGAAGTTTCTGTATAGTTATTCCATTTCATAAATTGCTATAAAAATGGGGAGAGTTTTTTAAAAAATATACATTCCTATATTTATTGGCTATTGTGTTGAGATTCAATGACACACTTGGACAAGCCTTTTGAATGCATACCTTTCTTCTCAGATAGAATAGCAGGGAGTACACGATTGGATCTCAGGATGTCGCCTGTTGTAACTGGGAGAAGTGAGTGAATTTGACCAATCCCTTCTTTTTGTGGCATGGATGGGAGTGCTTGTGGGAGATTCACTGTAGTAGTCCTTACAGAAGTCAGAGGAATAGATCTCATTTTTTTCACATTCTGAGGCATGGTGTCAGATGACAAATTACCTACAGTTAAGAGAAAGGATTTAATTTTTAAACATAGTTTTATTTCAAAATGTCAATGTTGTTAAAGAATACTATGTCTGCTGTGTTACTGTTATCATTTCAAGAAAGTGACAGCTTAAACATCACTTGTCCTTGTAACATAAGATCTGAACAAGCATGGTGGATAAATGGAAAACAGTAGACGTAGTGTATTCAGATTTACAAAAGCTAAGATTCTGTGGTGTTATTGGAGATATATTATCATTGGAAGATGACTGGTTAAACCACAATAAACTGAGTTAAGATAAATTAGCAATTTTCAGGATGATGAAGTGTAACTAGTGGAGAGCCACAGGGATCTGTGCTTGGGTGTCAGCTACTTATAATCAATGTTTTGGATGAAGTGACCAAATTTGCCAAACTGTAGCCAGATTTACTGACAAAATGAAAATAAATAAGAAAGCAAGTTATGCGAAGGATACAAAGAGTCTGCAAAGGGATCCAGATAGGTTCAGAGTTCACCTGCAGATGGAGCATAACGTGAGAAATTGAGAGATTCTGCACTTTAACCGGATGAATAGGAAAGTAGAAAATTATTTCATTGTAAAGATATGACAAAATGTTGAGGAATTTGGGTGACATTGAATATGAATCAAGACAAGGTAGTAAGGAGGGGTAAACGGTATGTTGGCGTTTATTGCAAGGGGAATGAAGTATAGAAGTCGGAAATTGTGCTATAACTATACGGGGCAATAGTGAAACTCCACCTGGAAAAAAGGAAGGACAACATCCATTGGGAGCAATTTAGAGATCGTTCACCAGGCTGATTTGTTATAAGAGGGAGTGTTGATTGAACAGGTTGTGCATACACTTTCTGGATAAATAGAAGGATGAAAATTAAAACATTCTGAGGGGACTTGACAGTAGATGTTGAAATAATGTTTCTTGCTATGGAAGAATCTCAAACTACGAGTAGAGTTTACAAATAGGCTGTTTGCTGTCAGGGGACAGGCTCACCATTCAAGCAGTCGCAATTTCTGTGATGTCACTGCTTGCAACACTGCAGAGGATGGCATATATCAAAGAATAAGACCGATAAAAACTGTTTTATTTCAGAGCTTCAAGACAATTCAATTCAAGCTTTGGACTGCAAACATCACACTGCCCTACTCATGACCACTCCTATTCTACCCCTACTACCCCTGTTCCACTCTCTGCTCTGCTTCATCAGTATTTACCATTCCTGTGAACAAGGGATTAGTGTGGTGAGCGAGAGGGGGGATCAGTGAGGGATCAGAAGCAGAGTAATCAGGGAATTAGCAAGCAGGGTGGCAAGCAGAGACCAGAACTGTACACAAAAACTGCAGTTGTGGTGTTTACATTCCTTGCGTGCTAATCCATCACTGGCACTGAGCATGCGCCTATAGACTGAGTGAGTGCATATAGACTGGTTCCAAGGGCATATCGGTAACATTAATGATGCTAGCCACCTATTCTAATGTAGTGGCAGGCAGTAAACAGCATTAAAAATAAAGGATCTCCTATTTACAAAAGAGATAAAGAAGAATTTCTTTTCTCTGGGAGCAGTTTGTATTTTAAATGCTATTTCCCAGCAAGCAGTGGAGACAGTGTCATTGAATGTATCTGAGTTAGACATTTTATTTTGAGAGTTACTGGGGACAGGGGTGCTGGGATGGGGAGGTGGTAGTTGCAGTTACAAAAGATTAGTTAAGGCCACAGATGGCGAAGGTTTAGATATTCTCAAGTTAATGGAGAATGGCATGTGGCAGGTCAGCCAGAAGTGCATTGGATTAATCAAGTTTAGAGGTACGTTATTAGAGGTTAGGATTTCAACAGCAGATCACTTTGAGCTGGGACGAAGTCAGACAATGTTATGGTGATAGAAATAGTTGGTTTTAGTGATGACATGTAAATATGACACCAGAGTCGTAAACTTGAATTTGATTTTTCCATAAGCAGATGACAAATATCTGAATACCACTCACAAGATTATCATGAAAACTTTTACGAAGAAAATTCAAATTAAAAAAAACAATGAATACATAAACACTGCAGGTGAGCCAGCCAGTATGTGGGAAATTGACAAAATACTTACTTGGTTGTTAAATTTGCAGGATGTTAATCATTTGCTTTGGTTTAGATTTACATTCTTGATTCAACATATTGTAAGCACTACTGATATTTTAGTTGGAAATATCAACTATAAAATGGAAGCTGGATTATTAGATTTTTTTGAATAACTCAAAGGAAACTGGAATTGTGTGATGTCCTTTTGCTGAAACATAATGCCAGTACCAGTCATCTTGAAAAAGTAGTAAATGCACAGGAAAATACTGAATTGATGGGGACAGTCTAGGCGGAGGTTTATGAAAGGGCAATAGATTTTTGTGTCTGACCAGCAAGTGTTTGAAATAGAAAAGTGTTTTATTCTTCAGTATTGACATGCAAATTTTATTTTGGAATTGTTATCAAAGACATTTTAACCCAAATACTTAAATAAAAGTCAGTCAGAAGTTATCAATTGTGATCAGACTTTACCAAGATGATTTTCAGCAACATCTTTTAAAGTATTCACTTACATTTACGAGTGTAATGATCAGCAATTGGAGCAAGGAAGGACTGTGCCGGAGTTGAATCTTCCGGTTTTATTTTCTCAAGGGATTCTTGCTGCATATTTATTCCTAGAAAGAAATATAAAATGAGTAGCAAGGATATATATAACTGTATGTATTCTCAATATGACAAATATCAGAATACCACTCACAAGCTTATCATGAAAACATGAATGAGGACCCATGGATAGGAAGAACTATTTCCCTTCGCAGAAAAAAAAATCTATATCTGAGGGTGTAGATTTAAAGAAACGGGCAGTAGGATCACAGGGGAATTAATGAGAACTGTATTCACCTACAAGGTGCCAGGTGTCTGGAATTTAAAGGGGTGGTAGAGACAGAAACATTTATTACATTTATAAACAACTTGCAAGGTTGCACACCAAGACCTGTAAGGTGTGATTAGATTGAAGCTCATTTGCAGATGGCATGGACACCATGGGCCTTCTTCTGGGTTGTAAATCTTTGTATTTTTAAAATTTTTTTTCTACCTTGGACATTGTTCACATGTACATGTCCTCTATCTCAGTTCATCCATTTCTTAAACCACTGATTTTTATTCAGTAAACTTGAAACATTGAGCGTTGACCTAAAACACTTCAAGATATCTGTATTCAGCCAAATGTGGCCTCTTGGGCATTCCTACTTTAATCTTTCTAGTATTGGCAATCATGTTTTGGGTTTCTCTTCCTAAATATATCTCCCAGACTTCCTTTCTTTCCTCCTTCTTCAAGCTTACCCCATTCAGTAAAGTTTGGAATACCTGCCTAAATAAATTTGTCTGAGTATACATTGACTCCTACTTGGAGGGATGTTGAGCTACAAAGGTAGACTTATACAAAGAGTATAAAAGTGAATTGTCAGTGTGGGTGGTCACAGTTTTGTAATGTCATCAGCATCCAAACCGAAGAGTGAGCATATCTTAAATGGCCACTCTCTTAACGCAACCAGCCAATCAACTGCATGCTGATTGAATACTGAATTCATTGAGACAAAAAAACTGCAGATGCTGCTATCCAAAGTAGACAAACAGGAGACTGGAAGAACTCAGCAGGCAAGGCAGCATCTGGAGGAAAGGAGCAGTGAATGTTTCAGGTATTACCCTTCTTCAGGACTGGATGTGGGGGTGGGGGAGCTGCAGTTAAGTGGGGTTGAAGGGTATCACTACCACCACCCTATCACCAGCAATCTGCCTCCATTCCTTCCCCCCGCCTTTATCTGCAGCTCCCCCTATCCCCACACCCAGTCCTGAAGAAGGGTAATACCCAAAACATTGACTGCTCCTTTCCTGGCCGACTGAAATCTTTGAATTGAATAATAGAGGATGCAAGAGACATTCCAGACATAGCTGTCGATCAGTAACTGGAACGGAGGTAAAAACTGAAGAAAATTAATCAGTAGGGAAGGACTATTGAACCAAGTTGTTGGGAGCTGTGAGTTAACATAGTGCAAGTGTTCATACTAGGCTCTCAAGTGGCTTTTGAGATAGTTTCAATTTTCCAAAATCCACCAGATATGGGAAGTCCCATGAGAACGGAAAATAACAAATGTAACTTCTTTATTTTGAAAGAGAGAGAGAGAGAGACACTGACTTAGCTTAATGTCTGTCACAGAGAATACTTGTCATAAAGAAATCTTAGGTGTAAAAGATATAAAAGGGAATCAAGCAGACTGAGCGTTGCTGTGTGAAATTGGAGTCATGTTTAGCCAATTTATTGGAATCCTTTGAGGAGTAACCAATGTTCTGCCTAAGCTCAATAAAAACCGAAAGAATTGCAGATGCTGTAAATCAGGAACAAAAACAGAGTTGCTGGAAAAGCTCAGCAGGTCTGGCAGCATCTGTGAAGAAAAAAGCAGAGTTAACGTTTCAGATCCGGTGTTCTGAGGAAGTGTCACCGGACCCGAAATGTTAACTCTGCTTTAGAAATGCATAATATGATCAAGCAGTCAGCATGGCTTCATGAAGAGGACATCATGCCTGACAAATTTATTAGAATTCTTTATAGAGGGGACGAGCAAAATAAAGAGGAAGCACTGGATGTAACATATTTGGATTTTGAGAAAGTGGAAGGGAGAGGGGGGTGGGGAGTGGGTCGAATTTGAGACCAGGTGGTGTATTTCTAAGGTGTGAGGGGAAAGATTTAAATTGGACCTGAGGGGCAACTTTTTCACACAGAGGAAGTGAATCCCTGTATACTTGCATTCCCCATGCAGATGGCCTCAAAGCCCTCCGCTTCTTCCTCTCCCGCAGGCCCAACCAGTCCCCCTCACCGACACCCTTATCCACTTAACTGAACTCGTCCTTACCCTTAACAACTTCTCCTTCAACTCCTCCCACTTCCTACAGACTGAGGGGGTGGCCATGGATACCCACATGGGGCCAAGCTATGCCGGCCTCTTTGTAGGATACGTGGAACAGTCCCTCTTCCACAGCTACGCTGGCACTATCCCTCACCTCTTCCTCCGTTATATCAATGACTGTATCGGTGCTGCCTTGTGCTCCCACGAGGAGCTCGAACAGTTCATCAACTTTACTAACACCTTCCACCCCAACCTCAAGTTCACTTGGACCATCTCTGATGCCTCTCTCTCCTTTCCAGACCTCTCTGTCTCAATCTCTGGTGACCACCTCGAAACTGATATCTATTTCAAGCCCATCGACTCCCACAGGTACCTAGACTACACCTCCTCTCACCCACCTTCCTGCAAGAATGCAATCCCCTACTCCAAATTCCTCTGCCTCCGCCACATCTGCTCCCAAGATGTGGCGTTCCACTCCCGAACATCCCAGATGTCCTCATATTTCAAGGACCGCTACTTCCCCCCCAGTGGTCGAAAATGCCCTCGACCGCATCTCTTGCATTTCCCACACCTCAGCCCTCACACCCACTCCCTGCAAAAAAAACAAAGACAGAATTCCCTTTGTCCTCATGTATCCAGATTCAATGCATCATTCTCCGCCACTTCCGCCACCTGCAATCTGACCCCACTACGAAGGATATATTTCCCTCCCCATCCTTATCTGCCTTCCGGAGGGACCGCTCTTTCCGTGACTCCCTCGTCTGCTCCACACTCCCCTCCAGCCCCACCACACCCGGCACCTTTCCCTGCAATCGCACGAGGTGCTACACCTGCCCCAATAGCTCCTCCCTCACCCCCATCCCAGGCCCCAAGAAAACCTTCCACATCAAACAGATGTTCACCTGCACATCTGCTAATGTGGTCTATTGTATCCGCTGTTCCCGATGTGGCTTCCTCTACATTGGGGAGACCAAGCTGAGGCTTGGAGACCGCTTTGTAGAGCACCTACGCTCGGTTCGCGATAAACGACAACACCTCCCAGTCATGAACCACTTCAGCTCCCCCTCCCACTCCCTGGATGACATGCCCATCCTGGGCCTCCTCCAGTGTTACAACGATGCCACCCGGAAACTGGAGGAACAGCACCTCATATTCTGCCTTGGAAGCCTACGACCCAATGGTCTCAATGTTGACTTTACTAACTTCAAAATCTCCCCACCCCTGACCTCATCCCAAGACCAGTCCCCCCTATCATCCCCATCTCACTGACCTGTCCGTCTTCTCTACCACCTATCCACTCCTCCCACCTCACTGACCAATCCCCACCACTGCCTACCTGCTATCACTGCCCCCCTGACTATTTATTTCAGAGCCCCCTTCCCCTCCCCCATTTCTGAAGAAGGGTCCCGACCCGAAATGTCAGTTTTCCTGCTCCTCTGATGCTGTCTGGCCTGCTGTGTTCCTCCAGCTCCACTCTGTGTTATTTTTCACACAGAGGATGGTTTGTATGTGGAATGAACTGCCAGAGGAAATAATAGGTGCAGGTACAGTTACAACATTTAGGAGACATTTGGAAAAGGACATGACTAGGAAAGATTAGAGGGATATGGACCAAATGTAAGCAAATGGAACTAGTTTAGTTTGGGAAACTTGGTTGGAATGGACGAGTTAGACTGAAGGCTCTGTTTCTGTGCTGTATGACTCTTTGGAGATTAATTTTCTTCTTCAGAATTTTCTCCAATAGTTTTCCCACTACTGATGTAAGACTCGAATAAAAGCAGAAGTTGCTGGAAAAGCTCAGGTCTGGCAGCATCTGTGAAGAAAAAATCAGAGTTAACATTTCGGGTCTGGTGACTCTTCCTCAGAATGGGTCCGACTGTTAACTCTGATTTTTTCTTCACAGATGCTGCCAGACCTGCTGAGCTTTTCCAGCAACTTCTGTTTTTGTTCCTGATTTACAGCATCTGCAGTTCTTTCGGTTTTTACTGATCTAAGACTCATTTGTCTGTAATTCCCTGGTTTCTCTCTACCACCTTTTTGAAAATTGCAAACACATTAGCTGCCCTCCAGTCCTCTGATACCCCCCCTAGACCCAGACAAGAATTAAAAATTTGAGTCAGAGCCCCTGCAATATTCTCCCGTGTCTTCCATAGCCACCTGGCATTCTACTCATCCAGATTTGGGAATTTTTCCACTTTTGAGCCTGCCAAAACCTTCAACATTGCCTCACGACCTATGTCAAACTTCTCAAGAATTTCTCAGTCCCTCTTCCCAAATTTTGTGCCTACATCCTCCTTCTCCAAAGTGAAGACAGACATGAAGTACTTGTTTAACACCTACCAATGTCCTCTGGCTCCTTGCACAGCTTGACTCTTTGGTCCCTAATGGGCCCCACTCTTGCCCTGGTTATCCTCTTCAGCTTTTTATATTTACAGAATATTTTAGGATTCTCCCTAATCTTGCCTGTCAGTACTTTTTCACGCCCCTCCCTTAATCTCCTAATTGCTTTCTTAAGATCTGCCATGCACTTTCTATACTACATTAGGGCTTCCATTGATTTGCTCCCATTATACCTGTTAAGAGTGTCTCTTTTCCTTCTTATCCAGTCTTGAATATTCCTAGATATCCAGGGTTCTCTGAGTTTATTGCTCCTACATTTCACCCTTTTGGGAATATTTTGGCCTGAAATCTTGCCAGTTTAATATTGAACATTAGCCATTGTTCTGCTGTAGATTTACTTCAGAAGTAACGGTTCCCAGTTTAATTTGGCCAGATTGTGCCATATATTAATAAAATCTGCCTTCCTCCAATCCAAAACACATTTTTGCAGACCATCTTTTCTTTTTCCACAAGGAACTTAAAATGTATGGTGTTGAGATTGCCAACACAAAAATGCTGTCCCATTGCCACCTCGAACATCTCTCTGGGTTTGTTCCCCAGAATTAGGCCCAGCACTGCACCTTCCTTTGTTGGGTCTTCTACGCATTCATGTAAAAATCTCTCCTGAATACATTTCAACAAATCTTTCCCCTTTCAACCCTTTACACTATAATTATCTCCATTAATGTTTGGGTGCCAGTAATACTCCCAATGTTACCATCCGCTCTTTATTTCTAAGTTCGGCCCACAAAGCCTCATTGAAGACCCTTCCAAGATATCGTACTTCATTACTGCAGTAATTGAGTCCATAATTAATAATGCAATGCCACAATCTTCTGTCCTGTTTGAAGATCTTGAAGTCCTGCCCCTCCTCAAATGTGTCTTTGCAATGGCAAAAACATTGCAACAGCATGTATCAATCATGTCCATGACTCAGTTGTCTTACCTATAATACTCCTTTCATTAAAATAGAAACTATCCAGCCTTAACCTACTCCCTTGAAACTCAATATGGCTGAACTCCCTCAGCCTTGGTTCCTTTGTTAAAGTACACTCTGTGACCTTCCTGTGGCCAAACTAATTAAATTCTTCCAACAGCACTATCAAACCCACCCACAAAAATGTTTATCCCATTCTAGAGATGGTAAGAACTGCTGATGCTGGAGTCAGAGATAACACAGTGTGGAGCTGGAGGATCACAGCAGGCCAGGCAGCATCAGAGAAGCAGGAAAGTTGATGTCTCGGGTCTGGACCCTTCTTAAGAAATGGGGGAGGGGGAAGGGAGCTCCAAAATAAATAGAGAGAGGAGGAGTAGGGCTCGGAAAGGTAGGTGGGATGTCAAATAGGGCGGATTAAAATCGTTGGTTGAGGTTGTGGATCCTGCGAAGAATGAAAAATAGAAGCGGTCCTTTGCAGGTCTTGGAGAGGGAGGCTCTGAGCTGGGGTAGGGTTGGTTATAGTGCCAGAAGATGCCAATGTGGCCTCCTCTACATCGGTGAGACCAAGCGGAGGCTCAGAGACCACTTTGTAGAGCACTGCTCTCTGTTCATGACAAACGACAACACCTTTCAGTTGCGAACCATTTCAACTCCCCCTCCCACTCCCTGGACGACGTGTCCATCCTGGGCCTCCTCCAGTGTCACAGTGACGCCACCCGGAAACTGGAGGAGCAGCACCTCATATTCCGCCTTGGGAGCCTACAACCCAATGGTCTCAATGTGGACCTTACCAGTTTTGAAATCTCCCCACCCCCGGCCTCGTCCCATGATCAACCCTCCCTCTCATCCCTGCCTCCTTGACCTGACACAACCTGTCCATCTTCTCTCCCACCTATCCGCTCCTCCCACCTCACTGACCAATCCCCACCACTGCCTACTGCACTCACCTATCACCATCCCACCTACCTTCCCCAACCCCACCCCTCCTCTCTCCATTTATTTCTGAGCTCCCTTCTCCCTCTCCATTTCTGAAGAAGGGTCCCGACCCGAAACGTCAGCTTTCCTGCTCCTCTGATGCTGCCTGGCCTGCTGTGTTCATCCAGCTCCACACTGTGTTATCTTTATCCCATTCTCATTCTCTTGCAGCCAAAGCATCCCGTCCACCCCAATAAAGATCCCATCTTCCCCAGAAATGGTCATAGTGATCCAGGAATCTAAAACCCTTCCTCCTGCGCCAATTTTGAGCAACACATTCATCTACTCTATTTTCCTGTTTCTGGACTCACTAGCATACTGCACAGATAGTAATACAGACATTATAATCTTTGAGGACCTAATCTTTTGTCTGTTGTCGAGCTACCTAAATTCTTGATGTAAGACGTCATCCCTCATTTTACCTATATTTTTGGTAGCAATGTGTAACAGGACCTCAGTTTTATAACCCTCCCCCTTCAGGATACCCTAAAGCTGCTCAGTGACATCCCTGACACTGGCACCAGGGATGCAATACACTATCCTGGAGTTACATCCGTGACCGCAGAACAACCTGTCTGCTCTCCTCACTAATGAATTCCCCTATTACTATTGCTCCTGTTTTCATCTTCCTTCCCTCCTGTACACTCAAGCTACTTGTGGTTCCAGAAGCTGGACTCTGTCTGCACTCCCATGAGGAACCAGCACTCTCATCAGCTTCTGAAATAGAAAAGTAATTTGAGAGAAAAGCACCAGAATGCTCCTGCACTACCTGCCTGATTCTCTTTGACTGCCTGGTGGTTACCCAATACCTTCTTTCCTCCAGTCCCTTAAGCTGCTTTGTGACCACTGCTGTAAATGTACTATCTGTATAACTCTGAGCCTCGTGGATGGGCTACCAGGTGTCCAACTGCTGCTGAAGCTCTGAAACACAGAGCTTGAGTTTCTACAGTTGGGAGTACTTCCTGCATGTGTGGTCATCTAGGACACCAGTTGAGTCCATGACTTCCAACATATGTAAGGCGTACATTTTATTTAGCTGACCTCACCTGCCATCACTTAAACTTGAACTTACTTAGTCTTATTTGCTAACTTCTTTAGTTACTTAATCTTTAAAGCTACTTCCTTTGCCTTAACTTTAGTCTCCTCTTATTCTCTGACGTTTACAAGACCTGGTTCTTAGTTAATCCCTTAATAACCTCCCAGCTCTTGGGCGATGGTGTACTCCGTATTGATCTGTGAAAGAAGCTAGGAAAACAAAACTGCAGAATAGAAGAAAAACACTTGTCCTCCACTTCACCAAGAGCTCTCACTTATCAAACCTTCATAGTCTACTCACTTCTGGTTGCACTGAGGCTTGAGAGTCTTTGAACTGTCTTCTTCAAAAGGCAATGATAGCAGAGTCCTTGTATATTTTAGAGGCAGAGGTAGATACAGTTTAATAGGAAGGTGGTGAAAGATTATCAGAGGTAGGGTAGGTGGGCATTTGGAATAACCTGATTAGCCATGATCTTATTAAATGGTAGACCAGGCTCAATAGGTAAATGGCTCATGCTCCTATATAGTTTGTATGTTGAAATATTAATTAAAACTGCATAGCTCAGTTGGTAACACTCTTGCCTGAGTCAGAAGGTTATGGATTCTGAGCCCGCTCCAATATTTAAGCATAAGAATTTACATTGACACTTCTCTCCATTACTGAGGGAGTACTGCATTATTAGAGATCCTATCTTTTGAGTGAAACACTAAATCAAGGTTCCATCTGTGGTCTCTCGTTAAATGATCCAATAGCATTAATTCAATGAAGGGCAAGGGGTGTTTTTCCCAATATTTATTCCTAAATCAACATCACATCACGCCATTTATGTGGTATTTTGTCATGTTTCCTGTATTCCAACAGTGACTCCACTTCAAAAATACCTTATTGACTGTAAAAGGTTTTGAGACATCTGGTTATCATGAAAAATGCCATATATGTAAATCTTCCTATGAATGGGAAGCATTAATTTGACTTGCTGCACATTTCAGTCAACAGAAACAGTCAACAGCGTTCATATATGTTACAATCCCTGGTCCCAGTTCGGTGTCTATTAAATTTAGCCCCCTTTAACTTGTATCCATTAGTTGTACAACTTTGCTGTCTGTTTTGAACATTTTGAAAGTTACCTTGGAGGTTATTCTGTAAGCAGGGAAGAGTAGTATGTTGTGAGAGTTCCAAATGTTTGGCTCTTTCTTGCAGGAAAACTTCCAGCAGTTTTGATGGAGGAGTAGTCCGTGCTTTATGGGGTAAAATGTGATTTGTGCCTTTGGCCCATGGACTATCTAAACGTTTCCGAGAGCTAGTCCTGTTCTCAAACAAGTCATGTTCACTGCGGCTTTTTTGAGACCGGTGCGCAAAGTGGTGTGGACTAGACTTACTGTTTGCATTCTGAACCATACAAGGGGAATTTATAAACAAGGTATTGCCAAGAGTTAGTGGTGGGAGGCTTCGTGTCCGTATTGGGGGAAGACTTTTATAAACCTTTTGTCTTCTATCTGATGACTGTCGTTTCCGAGTTGCTAGCTCTGCAGGTGTTTCTGTGAGTCTGCACTCCTCTGTCTGTTCCTCCAAAACCTCACTATTATTACAATCCATGATAGAATCAAAGGTTGTTATAATATCATCGACTTCAGAAGTTTCATCTGTTAGGCATCTATCCTTGTTTTTATCTTTCAGAGTACTGTTTTGTTCATCCTTTTTCTTTTTACAGGAGAATAGCTGGTTCAATACACTGAAACGCCCCTCTTTCTTCTTGTTGTTTTGAGAAGATTGCTGTCGAACAGGCTCAGGTCTGTGTTTAAAAAAAAAATTGAAATCAAGACAAACATTGGTCAAGATTTTCACAAATGATTAATATTTAAAATGCAAAATGTACATTGTTTTAAACGTTGCATTGATTTGTCATTTTAAAAGTATTTTATATATTTGTCAATGAACCAAAGATATCAGTTACATTTTACAGATTCATAACTGTCTCCAGTTCTACATTTTAATAGCCTGTTATTTATGAGTATTAAGAGCTATACTTTTTTTTTTGTAAAAATCAAATTTTCATCTTACACACTGCTTATTTATAGGTATATTGCCAGGTGCCATCTATATCAAAAGATCTTTCATATGCCCATCTGTACTACCTACCTATTTCCATACTGGTGTTCTGTACCTTGGGTTAAAGCTATCTGCCATGATCTTTTCAGTCTATTGGTTGAATGTCACACATCTGCACTCATCTCACCTAATAAGATGAGAGACTTTCTGAGGTATTCTCTGAAGAGAATTAGCTGAGAACTGACTTCCTGCCAAGTAGTTTGATTGATTGTTACTTAAAGCTGAGTTCGAACTCCCATTTCCAGCATGGAAGCCCAGTGTTTAATTCAAGTTTTTGTTTCAGTTATTTTATTACTGCTTTACAGCACTTTCATTTAATACAAGTACAACAGTACTTAAACAGTACCTCTTCCAGGTATTCAAGGACAATGGATATCTGAAAAACTGGGTCAGAAGATGCCTACTAAACGAATGACACCAGGAAGATACCACATGCCCCGACACACTCATCATGCTACCTGACATCAGGAACACATCGGAACTAAGCACAAGCCACCTATGGCCTTTGGGGATCAGAGTAGCACACAAACCCACATCAACCCTACGACAACTGCTCACCCGAATCAAAGACCCACTACCCACTATGGACCGGACCAATGTCAGGGATAGTAGAGGGAACATGTGCATGGAGTCAGAGGAGGTAGGAGACGTCCTTAATGAATACTTTGCTTCAGTATTCACCAGTGAGAGGGATCTTGTAGTTTGTGAGGACAGCGTGAAACAGGCTGATATGCTCGAACAGGTTGATGTTAGGAAGGAGGATGTGCTGGAAATTTTGAAAAACATGAGGATAGATAAGTCCCCTGGGCCAGACGGAATATACCCAATGTTACTACGGGAAGCAAGGGAAGAGATTACTGCGCCTTTTGAGATGATCTTTGTGTCCTCACTGTCCACTGGAGTAGTACCAGATGATTGGAGGGTGGCAAATGTTATTCTCTTGTTCAAGAAAGGGAATAGAGATAATCCTTGGAATTACAGACCAGTCAGTCTTACTTCTGTGGTGGGCAAATTATTGGAGAGGATTCTGAGAGACAGTATCTATGATTATTTGGAAAAGCACAGTTTGATTAGAAATAGTCAGCATGGCTTTGTGAGGGGCAGATCATGCCTCACAAGCCTTATTGAATTCTTTGCAGATGTGACAAAACACATTGATGAAGGTAGAGCAGTGGATGTGGTGTATATAGATTTTAGCAAGGCATTTGATAAGGTTCCCCATGGTAGAAAGTAAAGAGGCATGGGATTCGGGGAAACTTGGCTGTCTGGATACAAAACTGGCTGTCCAATAGAAGACAGAGTGTGGTAGTAGATGGCAACTATTCAGCCTGGAGCTCGGTGACCAGTGGTGTTCCGCACGGATCTGTTCTGGGACCTCTGCTCTTTGTGATCTTTATAAATGACTTGGACGAGGAAGTGGAAGGGTGGGTTAGTAAGTTTGCCAATGACACAAAGGTTGGTGGAGTTGTGGATAGTGTTGGAGAGCTGTTGTAGGTTGCAATGGGACATTAACAGGATGCAGAGCTGGACAAAGAAGTGGCAGATAGAATTCAATCCGGAAAAGTGTGAAGTGATTCGTTTTGGAAGGTCAAATTTGAATGCAGAATTCAGAGTTAATGGTAGGATTCCCAGCAGTGTGGAGGAACAGAGGGATGTTGGGGTCCACGTCCATAGATCCCTCAAAGTTGCTACCCAAGTTGATAAGGTTGTTAAGATGGCGTATGGTGTGTTGCCTTTCATTGGCAGGGGAATTGAGTTGAAGAGCTGCAAGGTTATGCTGCAGCTCTATAAAACTCTGGTTAGACCACACTTGGAATATTGTGTTCAGTTCTGGTCGCCTCATTATAGGAAGAATGTGGAAGCTTTAGAGAGCATGCAGAGGAGATTTACCAGGATGCTGCCTGGACTGGAGGGCAGGTATTTATGAGGAAAGGTTGAGGGAGCTAGGGCTTTTCTGTTTGGAGTGAAGAAAGATGAGGGGTGACTTGATAGAGGTGTACAAGATGATAAGAGACGTAGAAAAGAGTGGATAGCAAGAGACTTTTTCCCAGGGCAGAAATGACTATTATGAGGGGGCATAATTTTAAGGTGATTGGAGGAAGGTATAGGAGAGATGTCAGAGCTGGGTTCTTTACACAGAGGGTGGAGAGTGGTGGGTGCGTGGAATGCGTTGCCGGCAGCAGTAGTGGAGTCAGATACATTCGAGACATTTAAACGACTCTTGGATAGGCACATGGATGATAGTAAAATGTAGGGTATGCAGGGTAGTTTGATCTTAAAGTAGGATAATAGGTTGGCACAACATCGTGGGCCGAAGCGCCTGTACTGTGCTGTACCGTTCTACGTTCTATGTTGTATGTTCTAAAACTTGGAACTATTTTGAACTGTGAAGAGGATAGTGTAGAATTTCAAGCGGACACAGTTAGATTGGGGGAATGGGCAAAAGGTAAGTGAATTTTGATATCAAGGTGTGGGAAGTGATTCATTTTGATTGGAGGAATAAAAAAAATGACACGAATTAAAGGGTGCAATTCCTGAGGATGTTCCAGAGGATGTATATGTCCATAACTCATTGAAAGTGACAGGAAAGGTTGATAGTGGGGTTAAGAAGGCATATAGTATCTGGAATTTATCAAAAACAGTGCACAGAATACTATAGCAAGCAATTATATTAACTCTGTATAAAACACATTGTTTTTCGATTAGATTTATTAATGACTACATTGTCTTTAGGTCTCCTAATTTTGGATCACAGAAAGACAAAGAGAAGTTGAAGAAAAGTAAATTCACAAGTGATGGTTTTGCAAGCTGAACAGTGGAAGCAGCATGCAATTTAAAAGGCAAACAAATACCACAACTAACAGATTAGATCTAAGCACTGCAGTTTGTCACATTCAGCCATGAGTTGTATGAATAAATAAACAACCAACAAGAAGAGGAAGCTGATAACACAGTGTGGAGCTGGAGGGACACACCAGGCCAGGCAGCATCAGAGGAGCAGGAAAGTTGACGTTTCCGGTCGGGACCCTTCTTCAGGAAGCTGTATAGATATCTTCATTCTCAACACAGAGAGCCCAGCACAGCATTGCAAAAGACAAGGCTGTGGCATTTGCTTCCACCTTCAGCCAGAAGTGCTGAGTGGATGATCCATTTTGACCTCCTCCTGACGCCCCAGCATCACAGTCTTCAGTTGATGGGACTAAATTCGTGTGATATCAGAAATCACTGAACAAGGGCACGACTTAAATAGTTAATGGTAAGGGCCCTGGAGAGTGTTGTCAAACAGAGACATGTGGGGGTTGAGGTACATAGTTCATTGAGAGTTGTGTCACAGGCAGAAGGGTGGTAAAGAAGGCATTTGGCATAGTTGCCTTCGTTGGGATGTCATGTTGCGGTTTTGCAGGATATTTTGGTGTTCTGTGTACATTTCTGGTTGCCCTGATATAGGAAGGATATTATTAAATTGGAGTGGGGTCAGAAAAGATTTACCAGGCTATTGTAGGGACTGGGGGGTTTGAGTTATAAGGAGAGGCTGAATAGATGGGGATTTTTTTCATTGGAGCATAGGAGATTGAGGGGTGACCTTATAGAGGTTTATGAAATCAAGAGAGCATAGATAAGGTGAATAACAAAAGGTATTTTCTCTAGGGTAAGGAAGTTCAAAGCTAGACGGAATAATTTTAAATTGAGAGGAGAAATATTTAAAAGGGACCTGAGGGACAACTTTTTTGCAAATATGTGGAATGAACTTCTAGAGGAAGTGGTAGAGATGGGTACCATTACAACATTTGAAAGACATTTTGACGGTACATGAATAGGAAAGATTTAGAGGGATATGGGCCAAATGCAGGCAAATGGGACTTGTTTAGTTTGGGAAACTTGGTCGGCATGACACATTGGACCGAAAGATCTATTTCTGTGCTGTATGACTCTATGAGTCTGTGACTGAAGGCACCTGATATGACAAAAAATGTAACTTATGCTCCAGAATTATCGTACCCCTAGCCAAGCTGTTTATGTATAGCTACAACACTGGCACCCACTTATTAACATGAAAAATGTCCAGGTATGTCCTGTTTGCAAAAAGCAGGAGTAATCTAATCTGACCAATTACTGCCCCACCAGTTTATTCTTGACTATCGACAATGTGATTGAAGAAGCCATTGACAGCAATACCAAGTGGAACTTGGCCAGCAACAAACTGCCCATTTTGGGCTCCACCAAGGCCACTAAGGTCTTGAGCTCACCACAGTCTTAATCCAAAAATAAACAAGAGAGCTGAAACTCCAGAAGTGAAATGAGAGTGACTGCTGTTGACACTAAGGCAGAATTTGACTGAGCATAGCATCAAGATGCCCTGGATTCAATTGGAATAAGGGAGAAATGTGGTTGGAGTCATACATTGCACAAAAGACGATGGTTGTGGTTGTTGGACCTCAGTCATCTAAACCACAGGGCATTATTTTTAAAGCATTCCTTAGGGTATTGTCCTAGACCACTACTTCCTCAATGACGCCTCCTTCTGTCATAAGGTCAGAATTGGGTTGTTTCCTGTTGATTGCACGATGTTCAGCATTGGTCATAACTCCTCAGATAGTAAAGCAATCTGTATTTATTTGCAGCTAGAACTGGGCAATATTCAGTGTTTGGTTATTTAATGACAACTAACATTTGGGCTATATA